CCCCCCGAAGTTCTTTATTGCCCCCTTCCCCAGTTCCCTAGGGTTAGAAAATAAAATATCTCCCCTGGGGTCCTCGGAGTTATTTATCTCCCCCCACTTAATTCCTTAGATTCCTTTCCCTCTCCCCCTATATTATTAATTATATTAATCCAACCAGCAATTTGTTTAAAATCCTTAATAACATGTTTATTATAAATACAAATTTTTCGAATTAAAACTAATTTCTTTGCATGCAATGAAAGCAAAGATACCTTGCAGCACAGCAAAATATGGTTCTTGTTGAGTATCTCGTGACAGATTTAACACTAAAATACTTTTATTCCTTCAAAGTAGATTTTACAAGTAAATCTCAACACATTGTAAATTTACACTCCTTTTTATAACAACAATTAAAAGCTAGGACTTGACGTAATAAGCTAACTAGAATGCTTTCACAAATCAATAATATTCCAATATTCTAGTGCCTGGTGAAAAATCAGACAGCCGCTTAACAGACTTCTTGTGAGGTAGGCATTTTGAAGAGCAACGCACGTGAGGCGCGTCACAGGCGCGCAGCACGTGACTCTGGCTAAGACGGCGCTCAGAGGACTTGTTTGGTAGCGTACAGAGGAGCTCAGGTAAGCTAGAGTTTTACACAGGGTAATTTAATATTATCAACTGAGTTGAGAACGTAGATTGGCCACCGTAAAGAGTTTCGAAGCTGATGTTTCGCGCGTTAGCTCTTCGTCAGAGCGAAAGGCGAGAGGCGTCATACGCTCTGTTGAAGGGCGAATGCTCGAAACGCCAGCTATGAAACACTTTACGGTGGCCAAAATATGTTACCAACTCAGTTGATAATACTAAATTACCCTGTTATACTCTCCTACCGACGCAGCATCACGGTTTCTTTAGAACTTACCCACTTTATTAATTCGACTTTAACACAGCTGGGTTGAATATCTATTGATCATTCCAACAGCTGGCATAAAGCAGGTAATTTTAAGAAATAGCGACTAAAAAAAACCGTAAATAATCAATCCTTCAATTCCAAAGATCTAATCGTCAATTCTCCCCACTAGCAGCAACACATTTCCTTGTAAATCATTTAAGAGAGTTTGGTGTTAGATCGAAGAAAACTACAACCTGATAAGTTTGAGGATTCTCATTGCCTATTTTCTAGACGACATTAGGACACTATGAAGAGAAGTTACGTGTTGATCACTTCTTGGAGTTAAGGGTCTTAATTAAATCAACACTAGCGATCCTTTCCCTAACTGTAACTGGAAAAAAAACTAAAAAAAGCAAAAGAAATTCTGGAGCATAACACCTCTTTTAGAGCTGCTTTGAGCAGCTTGGCTCAATCTCAATACCTCAGTACTTGTTTACCCGACGTAAGTAAACGTTGCTTCGTCTTAAAATCCTGCTCCGGTTGTTTCCGCTAATCTGACGCGCACAATAGCTTGTCACGCATACAATTGCTGCGTGACAACGAAAATAACGACTGCAATGGCAACTACGAGGTAACAACATCACCGAGCAAGCAACCTTATTGAACTCGTACTTAATAGGAATTTTTTTTCCTACCGCAAAGAATTTGCCTGTTTTTCTCAAACGCCTTGACAAGTACACAGCCGATGACGATGCTTCCTTCAAGGCATACACTATTTTATATCATTTCCAAATTAGCCTTCGTTAATTTTCTTCGCCAAGCTCTTATTAACCAAGACATCGGCAATAAGCACGTCTTCGTTCCCTTCTGAGGTGTCATAAAGCTCAAGTGACACTTTAGTTTCTTCGTTTGTCAACCGGCTACGATTAGCCACCAGGCCTCTTGGTTTAGCTACTAACTTCTTGTCAGCGGTCAATTCTCCAAACAGGTCGATGGCCTCCTGTGACCAACGTGCTAAGTCCTCTCCTACTGGCTCCACCCCTAC